AAAAGAAGAGATAGGACAAGTCTTAAGGAATTAAAAAGAAAAGATAGGCAAAGACTTAAGGAATTAAAAAGAAAAGATAGGCCAAATCATAAAGGATTAAAAAGAAAAGATAGGCCAAGTCCTAAGGGATTAGAAAAAAGAGATAGGCCAAATCATAAAGGAGTAAAAAGAAAAGATTGGGCAAGTCTTAAGGGATTAGAAAGAAGAGATAGGTCAAGTCATAAAAGATTAAAAAGAAACAATAGGCCAAGTCTTAAGGGATTAAAAAGAAAAGATAGGCCAAGTCTTAAGGGAGTAAAAAGAAACGATAGGCCAAGTCATAAAGGATTAAAAAGAAAAGATAGGTCAAATCATAAAGGAGTAAAAATAAAACATTGGCCAAGTCTTAAGGGGTTAGAATGAAGAGATAGGCCAAGTCATAAAGGATTAAAAAGAAAAGATAGGGCAAGTCTTAAGGGATTAGAAAGAAGAGATAGGTCAAGTCATAAAAGATTAAAAAGAAACAATAGGCCAAGTCTTAAGGGATTGAAAAGAAAAGATAGGCCAAGTCTTAAGGAATTAAAAAGAAAAGATAGGCCAAGTCTTAAGGGAGTAAAAAGAAACGATAGGACAAGTCATAAAGGATTAAAAAGAAAAGATAGGCCAAATCATAAAGGAGAAAAAATAAAACATTGGCCAAGTCTTAAGGGGTTAGAATGAAGAGATAGGCCAAGTCATAAAGGATTAAAAAGAAATGATGTGCCAAGTCATACAGGATTAAAAAGAAAAGATAGGCCAAATCATAAAGGATTAAAAAGAAAAGATAGGCCAAGTCCTAAGGGATTAGAAAAAAGCGATATTCCAAATCATAAAGGAGTAAAAACAAAAGATTGGGCAAGTCTTAAGGGATTAGAAAGAAGAGATAGGTCAAGTCATAAAAGATTAAAAAGAAACAATAGGCCAAGTCTTAAGGGATTAAAAAGAAAAGATAGGCCAAGTCTTAAGGGAGTAAAAAGAAACGATAGGCCAAGTCATAAAGGATTAAAAAGAAAAGATAGGTCAAATCATAAAGGAGTAAAAATAAAACATTGGCCAAGTCTTAAGGGGTTAGAATGAAGAGATAGGCCAAGTCTTAAGGGGTTAGAATGAAGAGATAGGCCAAGTCATAAAGGATTAAAAAGAAATGATGTGCCAAGTCATACAGGATTAAAAAGAAAAGATAGGCCAAATCATAAAGGATTAAAAAGAAAAGATAGGCCAAGTCCTAAGGGATTAGAAAAAAGAGATAGGCCAAATCATAAAGGAGTAAAAACAAAAGATTGGGCAAGTCTTAAGGGATTAGAAAGAAGAGATAGGTCAAGTCATAAAAAGATTAAAAAGAAACAATAGGCCAAGTCTTAAGGGATTAAAAAAGAAAAGATAGGCCAAGTCTTAAGGGAGTAAAAAGAAACGATCGGCCAAGTCATAAAGGATTAAAAAGAAAAGATAGGTCAAATCATAAAGGAGTAAAAATAAAACATTGGCCAAGTCTTAAGGGGTTAGAATGAAGAGATAGGCCAAGTCATAAAGGATTAAAAAGAAAAGATAGGTCAAATCATAAAGGAGTAAAAATAAAACATTGGCCAAGTCTTAAGGGGTTAGAATGAAGAGATAGGCCAAGTCATAAAGGATTAAAAAGAAAAGATAGGGCAAGTCTTAAGGGATTAGAAAGAAGAGATAGGTCAAGTCATAAAAGATTAAAAAGAAAAAAGGAAAAAATTGAAAAGAAAAGGCCAAGTCTTAAGGGATTAAAAAGAAAAGATAGGCCAAGTCTTAAGGGAGTAAAAAAAAAGAAACGATGGGACAAGTCATAAAGGATTAAAAGAAAAGATAGGCCAAATCATAAAGGAAAAAAAAAATAAAACATTGGCCAAGTCTTAAGGGTTAGAATGAAGAGATAGGCCAAGTCATAAAGGATTAAAAAGAAATGATGTGCCAAGTCATACAGGATTAAAAAAAAAAGATAGGCCAAATCATAAAGGATAAAAAGAAAAAAAAAGAAATGATATTCCAAATCATAAAGGATAAAAACAAAAAGATTGGCAAGTCTTAAAGGGATTAAAAAAAAAGATAGGCCAAATCATAAAAAGATTAAAAAAGAAACAATAGGCCAAGTCTTAAGGGAAAAGAAAAGATAGGCCAAGTCTTAAGGGAGTAAAAAAAAAACGATAGGCCAAGTCATAAAAGGATTAAAAAGATAAAGGAGTAAAATAAAAACAGGCCAAGTCTTAAGGGGTTAGAATGAAGAGAAAGGCCAAAAAGAAATGAAGGCAAGTCTTATAAAGGATTAAAAAGAAAAGATAGGCCAAGTCATACAGGATTAAAAAAAAGATTCAAATCATAAAGATTAAAAAAAAAATAGGCCAAGTCCTAAGTCTTAGAAAAAAGAGAGATTAAAAAAACAAAAGAGGCAAGTCTTAAGGGATTAGAAAAAGAGATAGGTCAAGTCATAAAAATTAAAAAAGAAACAATAGGCCAAGTCTTGATTAAAAAAAAAAAAGCAAGTCTTAGGGGTAAAAAAAGAAACGATAGGCCAAGTCATAAAGGATTAAAAAAGAAAAGATAGGTCAAATCATAAAGGAGTAAAAAAATAAAACATTGGCCCAAGTCTTAAGGGGTTAGAATGAAGAGATAGGCCAAGTCATAAAGGATTAAAAAGAAAAGATAGGGCAAGTCTTAAGGGATTAGAAAGAAGAGATAGGTCAAGTCATAAAAGATTAAAAAGAAACAATAGGCCAAGTCTTAAGGGATTGAAAAGAAAAGATAGGCCAAGTCTTAAGGAATTAAAAAGAAAAGATAGGCCAAGTCTTAAGGGAGTAAAAAGAAACGATAGGACAAGTCATAAAGGATTAAAAAGAAAAGAAAGGCCAAATCATAAAGGAGTAAAAATAAAACATTGGCCAAGTCTTAAGGGGTTAGAATGAAGAGATAGGCCAAGTCATAAAGGATTAAAAAGAAATGATGTGCCAAGTCATACAGGATTAAAAAGAAAAGATAGGCCAAATCATAAAGGATTAAAAAGAAAAGATAGGCCAAGTCCTAAGGGATTAGAAAAAAGCGATAGGCCAAATCATAAAGGAGTAAAAACAAAAGATTGGGCAGGTCTTAAGGGATTAGAAAGAAGAGATAGGTCAAGTCATAAAAGATTAAAAAGAAACAATAGGCCAAGTCTTAAGGGATTAAAAAGAAAAGATAGGCCAAGTCTTAAGGAATTAAAAAGAAAAGATAGGACAAGTCTTAAGGGAGTAAAAAGAAACGATAGGACAAGTCATAAAGGATTAAAAAGAAAAGATAGGCCAAATCATAAAGGAGTAAAAATAAAACATTGGCCAAGTCTTAAGGGGTTAGAATGAAGAGATAGGCCAAGTCATAAAGGATTAAAAAGAAAAGATAGGGCAAGTCTTAAGGGATTAGAAAGAAGAGATAGGCCAAGTCATAAAGGATTAAAAAGAAATGATGTGCCAAGTCATACAGGATTAAAAAGAAAAGATAGGCCAAATCATAAAGGATTAAAAAGAAAAGATAGGCCAAGTCCTAAGGGATTAGAAAAAAGCGATAGGCCAAATCATAAAGGAGTAAAAAGAAAAGATAGGGCAAGTCATAAAGGATTAAAAAGAAAAGATTGGCCAAGTCTTAAGGGATTAGAAAGAAGAGATAGGCCAAGTAATAAAGGATTAAAAAGAAACGATAGGCCAAGTCTTAAGGGATCAATAAGAAAAGATAGGCCAAGTCTTAAGGAATTAAAAAGAAAAGATAGGCCAAGTCTTAAGGGAGTAAAAAGAAACGATAGGCCAAATCATAAAGGATTAAAAAGAAAAGATAGGCCAAATCATAAAGGAGTAAAAATAAAAGATAGGCCAAGTCTTAAGGGATTAAAACAAAAAGATAGGCCAAATCATAAATGATTAAAAAGAAACAATAGGCCAGGTCATAAAGGATTAAAAAGAAAAGATAGGCCCAGTCATAAAGGATTAAAAAGAAAAGATAGGCCAAATCATAAAGGAGTAAAAATAAAAAATTGGCCAAGTCTTAAAGGATTAAAAAGAAATGATATGCCAAGTCTTAAGGAATTAAAAAGAAAAGATAGGCCAAGTTTTAAGGGATTAAAATGAAAAGATAGGCCAAGTCAAAAAGGATTAAAAAGAAAAGATAGGCCAAATCATAAAGGATTAAAAAGAAAAGATAGGCCAAGTCTTAAGGGACTCAAAGGAAAGATAGGACAATTCATAAAGGATTAAAAAGAAAAGATTGGCCAAATCATAAAGGAGTAAAAATAAAAAATTGGCCAAGTCTTAAAGGATTAAAAAGAAATGATATGCCAAGTCTTAAGGAATTAAAAAGAAAAGATAGGCCAAGTTTTAAGGGATTAAAAAGAAGAGATAGGCCAAGTCAAAAAGGATTAAAAAGAAAAGATAGGCCAAATCATAAAGGAGTAAAAATAAAAGATTGGCCAAATCTTAAGGGATTAGAAAGAAGAGATAGGCCAAGTCATAAAGGATTGAAAAGAAAAGATAGGCCAAATCATAAAGGAGTAAAAAGAAAAGATTGTCCAAGTCTTAAGGGATTAAAAAGAAAAGATATGCCAAGTCTTAAGGGATTAGAAAGAAGAGATAGGCCAAGTCTTAAAGGATAAAAAGAAATGATAGGCCAAGTCTTAAGGGATCAAAAAGAAAAGATAGGCCAAGTCTTAAGGGATTAAAATGAAGAGATAGGCCAAGTCATAAAGGATTAAAAAGAAAAGATTGTCTAAGTCTTAAAGGATTAAAAAGAAAAGATAGGCCAAGTCATAAAGGATTAAAAAGAAAAGATAGGCCAAGTCATAAAGGATTAAAAAGAAGAGATAGGCCAAGTCATAAAGGATTAAAAATAAATGATGTGCCAAGTCATACAGGATTAAAAAGAAAAGATAGGCCAAATCATAAAGGATTAAAAAGAAAAGATAGGCCAAGTCCTAAGGGATTAGAAAAAAGAGATAGGCCAAATCATAAAGGAGTAAAAAGAAAAAATTGGCCAAGTCTTAAGGGATTAAAAAGAAAAGATAGGCCAAGTCTTAAGGGATTAAAAAGAATAGATTGGCCAAGTCTTAAGGGATTAAAAAGAATAGATTGGCCAAGTCTTAAGGGATTAAAAAGAATAGATTGGCCAAGTCTTAAGGGATTAAAAAGAATAGATTGGCCAAGTCTTAAGGGATTAAAAAGAAGAGATTGGCCAAGTCTTAAGAGATTAAAAAGAAGAGATTGGCCAAGTCTTAAGGGCCTCAGGTAGAATTTTCTCTTGTTTAATATTTAAGTTCTTTGTTGATGGGTCAAAAAGTTGTTCATTTTTCTCTTTTTCAAAAAAACAGTATTTTCTCGAAGAAATTTTTAATTACACTTGTAGAATATGGCAGAAATCCAAGACCTGTTCAACTTCAATGTTTACTTTGATCAATGAATGGCATTTTAGGCAATAATTTTTGTTATCAAATTTATTTGGACAGGCAGACTGGCATAATGGTTAGTGATGTGGAAAATAGAATCAGAGAACAGAGTTTAAATTCTGTCTGGGACTGTTCATTTTGCTCTAATATCCTTGGGAAAGGTATGAATCCATATCTTCTCTTCTCCCAGTTATGGGTAAAATAGTAAGGCAGCCAATCTAGGAAAAGGAAAACTCTGTATTTCAGGCAACAGAAAATCACTTCTCCATGTTTCCCAAGAGCAGTCATACCAATTCACAATTCAAACACATTAAAGAAAAGAAAGTTGTGGAGAGTCATGATCACCTCTATTCTGAAAAGACATGATTTGTTTGGAGGTTCAGAGTGGCATACAGGTTATTGGTACGAAAAACAGAATCAGCAGACCGAGTTCAAATTTCGTCTGAGGCCACTGACATGCATTTGGTACCCATGCCTTTGGGAAAAAGTATGAATCCAATCCCCCCACCCCTATGTCAAATTAGTTTATTTTGACAAATAAAAATCTCCAGCAGTTGCTATAGGTTGTCGCAAGCCCGGTTGAAAGTTCAACATTGAGTTATCTCCTGGACCCTATAAAAAAAAACTCCAATTGCTAAAAACACAATAAATATCAAATGAGAATAAAAAACAAAACATTTTTCAGAATGGGAACAAACGATTGTCCAAGTTGCCTTGTCCTACTATTTATCATGTGAGTGTATGTGAACAGCAGATGATGTGAATATCAAAGTCTTTGCTACTGTTACTTTTATGACAAATGGAATCAATCGTTCAAACTAATTATTTCCATTTAGTAGATCATTGAACTATTGATTTATAACAAAATCAATGATTGGAAAAGAAACAGCAAATTGTGAAGGCTTTTTAAAACCAACTTCTTTCTCAAAAGAAAATTATTAAAATATCTGAGTAAAAAGCTATTGTTGTAATTGAATAGGTGCTAAAATAATCAATATAAGTCATTTCAGGGATTTCATGATGGGCAATGAACAGTTTTAATAAATATCGCAATGATTTCATAAAGACAAAGGAATTTTTTATCTGAATTCACTAGTAATTTAAGATTAAAACTAGAAAGGATAATTAAATATCCAATACTAACACAGCATTTGACTATTTCATTTTTTATGGCTTATCAACCATTTGCAGGTTATTTAAAGTGAGAAAATATTTTAGATTGTAACAATTTGGAGGGTGCGAGGAGATAATAATGATTTAGTGATACAAGTCTTACTAATTAACCCATAGGTGGGAGAAGTGGTGGATTCATACCTTTCCCAAAGGTATTTATCCATAAGTGAAGATAATGAACCCAATGGGAATTGGAACTTGGCTTTACGATTTACAATTCCATCACTATTATCCATTACACCACCCAGTATACTATCTAGGTACTGATGAGATTTAGCATTGCTTAACTTTGTTGATTGTATGGGAACAACAAACAAAACTTTCATAATTGGTACAAACCATCAAATATATCATAAAGCATTTTTTAAATCTGGATTTGGGGAGTTTGTGTCTGTACATGCATTCATAGAGATAAACTAACATATAGGGGAATCTTCCATCAATTTTTTGTCGTCTAACAGTTCAATTTTTAGGACCACCAGACGAACAATACATAAAATTTGATTATAATGGTGAAGGCTTGTGTAGAATCAGTCACACACTTCAGAAGAAGCGATAACAGGGAAATGGTATGCACCCACATACATACATTTATATACATGCATGCACATACATCTATCAAACAACATTCCTGAATTACTGAAGCTAACCGCAGAAAAATACAGAAGAGACAGCTCTGTAAGTCTGGATCCCTACTGGCTGACAAACCCATTTTTTTCTGCGGATGATGTGAAAAGCCCTCCCTAATTTTGTACACAAAAAAGTGCATTTAAAATGTAAGAATTAACATCTACTTATGGCAATTTAAAAATTAGGGCAGAACTTTCCTTTATACTTAGAGTTATACTACAGTGCTATTTACGATAATACATTTCTATTTTGTAGTCCAATGCTACTTTGATATAAAACAGGTTCGAGTCATTGTGACTTGTTTTTGTTTCACTGCAATTTGTGACAGTTAAATAACAAAGAAGCACATGTACTTGAAACAGTTAGGTGTTCACTATTTCAAATGTACACTTTTGTTGTGTGTCTGTTTGAATACCAATTGTGTGTCTGTTATTTAGGTGGTATCTTAGACAAAGACATCTTGAATTCCAACACCAAAAGGTAAAAATGTATGCCAATTGTATCATATGCCTGAGAACAAAAAGATCTTAACTTGTTACAGTTTTTGTAACCAAAATATTCTGTCACTAGGGTTAGTTTTAAAACTGCAATATGTGCAACATTTCTCACACACCTTTTACTAAACGTAATTTAATCTGGTATTATCTACTGAAGAAGAGACTTGAAGCAATAGTGATATGGCTCTGTGGAAGAATGCTGAGAACACTATGCAAGGATCATGGAAGCAATGAAGAAGTTTTAAAGAGAATAGAAACTACAAAGAAACTGTTACTAACAACCAAAAATAGACAACTAAACTTTTAGGACATTCAAGAAGGCTTGGGAAATTTAACACTCACAGGGCAAGAGAATCCGAGTAAACTGCGAGTAACATACAAGTCTGAGTAAATGAATAGTAGAACAAGAAAATCAAGAACAATGGGGGAGTAAAAATTTAGCAGATACTTTGAGTAAAAATGAAGAGGAAGTTGTGGAGAGTCATAATTGCCCACTGAAAAGACATACACATAAAGAAGAATAATTCAATGTGGCAGGATTTATTACACTAGGTACCCAATGAAGATATTATTTGCATATAATGCATTATATAGTATTAGAAATAATTAGAGAAACTTGTGATCTCTTAGGTCATGAAATAAGTATATTTAGTATTTAATAGTTATCTCCCTTGAAGAATCGTTTTTTACCCTACCAAATGAAAACAAATCTTGACTGCACAATATTAATCATCCACTTTTTATCTTGCATTAAGATATCACTTTTTAGTGGTACTTCTGTCTGCAATGTTCTGTTTCTGCTACCAGACAGTTATATAATACAGATATTATTTCAAACGTTATTTTTAGTGGATACTCATATTTGAAACAGACGTCCTGTTTTCTATTAAATTAAATGGTGTGTAATACATCTATCTGTCTGCAGACTCAAACAAACTTAACAAAGAAAGAAGTGCTCTCTGGCAGGTTTTGAACTTGCATCCCCCCTTTGTAAGAGAAACCACTATATAATCCAGTGTATGTTAGACTGTGCTGGAGAGTACATTTCCTTTATTGAGTTTTCTTGACTGTTCTGGCTGAGAGACATAATGAACACTGTTTAAAATAAAATTAAAAAATGAGGCGTCTATTTTAAACACAGGTATTCACAAAAAAATCACATTTCAATTAATAGAAATGTCATAGTATTTTTTGTTGCTTTTTATTACAGTACACTCTGTTGATATATCATGTCCCATAATTCATTAGTGTCATAGTGGCACCAGATGTACTGCAGCCACAACAGCATTGGTGTGTCTAGGGCAAAAAGACTGACAGAGCCCATCTCTCTTTAGGATGGTTTTAAATTCAGAAATTTTCATTTTTGTAGTCTGCAATAATTTAACCCATATCTGGTGGGAAAAGAGATTTTATAATAGTATTTGAATGAAAGTGAATGCAATGAAATTGGCTGGCTTTTAAACTCAGCTTGCTGATTTTTGAGTTGCTAACTGTTACCCAACCTGCAAATCCAATCTGTTGAGAGACTCGTCAATGTAATGAAATAAAGCTAGTAATAAAATGCTGTAATGTTAATTTGATTCTTTATTAGCGGAAACAATGTCAATGATTAATTTAAACTCGTCTTTATTTACATCATAATTATTTAAAAGTTGCTTTTGATTATCACATTTAACGAGGCTGTCAATTTATGGCAGTGAGTAGACAATGCAAGATCAGAAATAAGTAAGCCTTCAGTGTGATTTGAACTCAATTCCCATCTGCCTCAGAGAAATATGGCTGATTGTACAAACTGCTTTGACTGTTAAGCTACTAGAAGTTAATAGCTGTAAAGAACTCGTCACTGCAATTCACAATCTTGTTCAGCACCATATTTGGTTTTTGCAATAAAAAAAGCAACTAAAAAATTAAGATAAGCTTAAATACAAATAACAGATTAATTTAACATAAAACTCAAAGTTGCCTTGAAAATCAATTTGTATATTCAGATTCAAAAATAACAGTTTTTATTCATTTTAAATCTAGTCTTTTGTTTGTTTGTTTGTTTTATAAATAAGCGATTATTTTGTTGATGGCTTTTATAATTAAATTACCCTTCTCATAGATTTGTTGCTAACTAAAGCTGAATCACCCAGTCTGCCTTACTATTTAACCCATAGCTGAGGATAGAAAAGGTAGATTCATACCTTTTCTAAGAGTATTTAAATGAAACTGAACCTAACAAGCTTAACTGGAATTTGAACTTGGCATTCTAAGCCACTAACAATTGCACCACCTTCACATCCTAGTTCACTTGTTAACAGAACTACAACTAAAAATGGTAGCACCTTACCAGCATAGTAGTGATTCTGTAAACAGGAGAATCAGTTGCAACTTTTGCTGATGTAAGAAAAAAAAATGATGTAAGAAAAAAAAAAAATAGTCTCTACAAAATATCTGATATTGTTTCCATAGCAACAGCTGTTAATTTTTTTCAAGTGTTAAAAACAATAACTTCTTTTTAACTTGCTTAGTTATTCACATAGAGATTTTCTGTCCTGAAAGTGACAATAACCTTAGCATTTAAATCTTTAGATTTTTTGATAAATTAAAATATAACATTTTGTATATAAAATAAAGGTGCATCAAAATGGTTAAAACCTATTAAGCCTCTTTTATAAATTCCATTTCATAGTCTACACAAATCTCTCAAAGAAATGACTGTGTAGTACAATGAAGAACAGGAAATGGATCACATCCACGTACCACAGCTAGTGTAAAAATACAATATCTAAAAAAAAAAAAATTAAGACTATTAATCAGTAGCAAAACAAAGATGATGTCATAGAATTGGTAATAGAGGAAGGGTTGACAGAATAACTATAGATTTGTATAAGGCTTAATCAGTGAACTGGTTAAAGTGACTTCTAAGAAAGAACTACAAGGTATGGGATAAGAGTTCAAGTCTAATCAAAATCTACTCCTTTGTTTCTGAATTAACAATGTCTGCTTTTGGCTTTGAAAAGTTTATCAACCAACAACAATAAGATAAAAACTAGTAAAAATAAAATTTAAATGAAAATATTTCATCTAAAAGATATTACAATAGTATTTATTGCATAATATATTTTTATTTGTAGTTGTATTAACAGATTGTAATGGACAAATTTAAGGGCGACTTAAAAATCAATTGATTTTTTTGTCTACTTGCAATTAACAAGTAGAAAAAAATCAATTTTGAGAAAACAATTCATAAAAAATCAATACAACCATTTGAAATAAAAAGTAAAAACTTGGCTTTTCAAAGTTTCTCCATAGTCCATTTTAGCCTTCCTATTCTGAGGCTCTTCAGGACATAGTCTAACATGACTCTCCACAGCTTCCCATTCCCTCAACAACTGCAAACTGTACATTGCCATGACTGTTCTTGGGGAAGCTTGTAAAGTGCTTTCTCATTGTTTTGTCTATAGTTTTCAATTCAGTGTTGTCTTTCTCCTAGACTAGTTGCCAACCAAGGCTGAAAAGCTCAGTCTGCCCAGCTATTTAACCATAAGCTGGTGAAGTGGGGAAGGAAAGAGGGTTTCATGCCTTTCACAAGAGGATCAGTGTGAAGCAAACACAAAATGTCTCAGGTATCATTTGAACTCTGATCATTGATTCCATTTTCCTTGCTATTAACTTTTAACCTACTTGCATTAATGACTTAACAAAATCATTTCCAGAAAATAGTTACATGAAAAAATCAAGTTTTAAATAACCATTTTGTTAAGTATAATTTATAAAAGCAGAATTGATAATTAGTGGAAAAAAAACACATCTTGATACACATTTCACAAGCTGATTTTGAGTAAAATTAGTCACATTGGCAAAAGAAATCTAAGAGAAGTTATGTAAATTAATTATTAGACTGAAAGGTTAGTGAGTTGAAAGGTTGGTTGGTTGTTTAGCAGCATATCAACACCTCTATGGGTTATTTAATGCTGAAATCTAAATATTTTGTATGCAATTTTATTTTATTTGGAGATGATAATGTTTTAGTGATATAAGTCTTACTAATTAACCCATAGCTGGGGGGAAGAAGAGAGTTGAAAAAATCAAGCAGGATAGTTTATGGATAATTATTTCCCTGTAAATTTCATGAGAAATTTTATAGAGTTCTTATTTCTTGAATTCTATTGTGAGTATAACAATGTCTTATTTAAATTGTTATCATTTCTATAAAATTTTTCTTTTGTAACCATCTGTAGAACCATGGATCTTTTTTTTGGTAAAAATGCAGAATAAAAAACCCCACCACAGCATTTAGTTATTTTAATTGTGAAAATAAACACATCTTGAAATTTACTTGTTAAATGTTATATTTCTCAATTATGAAAATATAATTATTGAAGGACAATTCAGAAGCATAGAAAATTTAGAATATTAAAGAAATATTTACTAATTAAATGAAAAGAAATTGTTTAAAAAAACCCTCAAAACCCTACAAAATACTTTATTTTAAAAAAAAGCGTAATTAAAAACGTAATTAAAAACCAATGATTAAAGTTTTATTCTCTAATTCAGCCCATAATTTTACAGAACTTAAAATTAAATTTTCAGTGGATTTGATTTCTCTGTGGACTTATTTTTAAAAATGTAAATATTAAGTGTCCAAATTATATTTTAAGATTTCAAAAAATTAAAGGCTGGTTAAAATTGGTTTTAAATTTCCATAAATCTTTCTTACAAAATTCTTTTTTCATAAATAAATTGGAATTCAATCATAAATATGTATCCAAAATATTTAAGTGCAAGGTAGGGCGGATTTTTCTGCATTCTTACACTTTTTATTTTCACTAGAATTTGTATTTTTGCTATACGTACAAGGATATCATATTTTAGTCTTTTTTAATTTATTGTCATTAAATAATGTTTTATGCTTTTGAAGTTGTTTGTGATTGTATAACCGACAAAGTCACATATTTGAGCAAGAGTTTCATTTAGAAACCATGCATAGCCAATGTTGTTTGGGCAAGTGAACACTTGTTTTTGTCAGCGCAACTTTTGGTCTGATCCATTCTTTAAGTCATTCTCATGTATATTCCATGAGCAAAAAAAAATGTCTTTCTTCCAAAAAAAGAAAAAGAAAAAGAAACACAAAAATGGTGACTGAAAAATAATCAATTGCAGCAATCAATTTCAACAGCATGAATTGCATCAAACTGAAACGCTCTATTAGCAACAAATATACCAAGATGTTCACTTGTTCAAATAATATTGGTTATGTTAATAAATATTCTCAATTATATAGACAAAAGCAAAGAATAGAGCTTAGAAAGAGATTAAAAAGTGCAACAAACACAATAATTAGAATGACATCTGAAAAATACACTTTACATATGAAAAAGAACAGTTGTATTTTTCAAGTTATACAAATAAAATCATTGTTAACAAGTCCATCATATTTGAGGTAGACTACGGTTAAATATGAACAAATAATCTACTCCAGATTGTGTAAAAAAATTCAAAAAGAAAGAAAGAAGAAAAAGAAAGAAAGAAGAAAAAGAAAGATAGACTCGCCAAAAGAAGAAAAAGAAAGATAGACTCGCCAAAAGAAGAAAAAGAAAGATAGACTCGCCAAAAGAAGAAAAAGAAAGATAGACTCGCCAAAAGAAGAAAAAGAAAGATAGACTCGCAAAAAGAAGAAAAGAAAGATAGACTATTAAAAGAAGAAAAAAAGATAGACTCTCCAAAAGAAAAAAAGAAAGATAGACTCTCCAAAAGAAGAAAAAGAAAGATAGACTCTCCAAAAGAAGAAAAAGAAAGATAGACTCTCCAAAAGAAGAAAAAGAAAGATAGACTCTCCAAAAGAAGAAAAAGAAAGATAGACTCTCCAAAAGAAGAAAAAGAAAGATAGACTCTCCAAAAGAAAAAATCTAATTTTTAATTAAAAATCCAAAGAAAAAGAAGTCAAAGTCAATGGTTTCTTCTTTAACTAAATTCAAGACTATATAATAAATTTATTCTCAAAAATTTTTAAATCATTTCAAAAATTCTGTCTTTTCAGTACAGTCAACCTGAAGGAGTTCAAGACAAACACCAATCATATTGTATTATTTTTCTACTAAATGCAAACATACTAACCATCCACATCAGATATTTCAAGGTTCTTTTAAAAAAAATAAAATTGTTGAACTAGTGTAGTGAAAAAGAATTTTTGACATGTGGATCAGGGCAGAAACTGGTCCAACTGATTGCCTCCCCTGCTGGTGTAGTATTGTTGAAAATAATGTGTATATATTGGCCAAATATACCAATAACAAATTGACAGATCTTATTGTTACAAATGCATTGATAGAGAATGAGTAGAGATATCATTATCAGCCCATAGCAGAATGTTTGCTTCTTTCCAAAGATAAGACCCAAGTTTGAATCTCACCATGTACCAAAAAGGTGATGTTATTGGGTCTAATCCCAGCATATGGCACATTTGGAAAGTGTCTGAAAACTGGATCATAGGAAGACCCAAACCATTTGGGTGAAATTGGGTAGATGGAACATCCACTGATGGTTATGCAAGCATGAAATCACCAGTCATCGTGATCGAGAGTTTGAGCAGACTGTTATTGTTCAAACTGCTGATCATGACAGATAATGTGCTCTCACCCAGAAACTGTAATTAAGGTTCACTCAGCATAGTTACAGTATAAACCAAAGGTGGGCTCAGTGGATGTTGAACAAACAGAAATGTACCTGAACAGGAGTCTGTGACTGGAACTGGTTAGCCACCCAAGCAGATGGGGTGTGGCTGGCTATTTTATATTGTCATTTGATATTATATCTATCTGTTCATTATTGTTCAGGGGTGAATAATGTACTGGGAAAATCCGACCTTTGAGCAGGGAAATGTGAAAAGTAAAGGAAGGTTAAGAGGAATGTTGAATTGGAATCCATTTATTCTTTTTTCATTGAACTATTAAGAGAATTCCATCCAGTCCCAAAGCTAATCAAAACTGGCTGGCAAAGAAACATACATTTCTATTATTACTTTGTCATTTCTAAAACACCATACATCTGGATAGTTTATTTGTTATTCACTCACTCAAGTCCTGTATATACCAGTAAGAAATTGGTGGCCCACAGATAAGTACTGCTTTTATGGTTTCTATAGCAACTAGGTTTTTAAAAAAACAGTGTTCCTAGACTCATACCTCAGTCAAACTGGTTTTGATATCAGAATTGTCCTTTTAGTATGGTTGCCAATCAAGGCTGAAGAGCCCAGTCTACCTTACTAGTTAATCCACAGCTGAAGGGAGAAAAGATGATTCATACCTTTCTCAAGATCATTTAAATGAAAGTGAAAGTAAGAAATTTGAACTTCGCTCACTAATTTCTCATTCTGAGACGCTAACCATTGCAACACATGCATATCCGAGTTCACTTGTTAACAAACCTACAACTAAAAATGGTAGCACCTTACTAGCAAAGTAGTGATTCTATAAATAGGAGAACCAGTTGGAATTTTTGCTGCTGTGAAAAGAACAAGACTTTACAAGATATCTGATACTGTTTCCATAGCAACAGCTGTTAACCTTTTCCTAAAGGTAAAAGCAAACTTCTTTTTTCATAATGTAATTAAAAATTACATACAATACTTTGACTATACATATTTCTTTTTATGCTAGTCAAACTAAAACATCTATATATTCTTCTTAAAAAATATTTCCTTTTATTAAAAAGCAAACATTTCTCAGTATAGTGTGCTATTAAATGGAAAAAGTTTCACCATCCTTTAATTTATTGGAACTTAACTGAATATTTTATTTAACATTTGATATCACAAGAAAGAATAATTTTAATAAAACTAGACACATAATACTACCCACTAAATCTATTGAAAAGAATTAATCTAAACAATATGCAATTTGTTACAAATGCTTCTAAAGCAATAAGAGACTTAATACAAAAGAAAGTAACAACTTAAAACAGGAATTTACAATATAACCTGTAATAAAGTTCATAAAAATACATAGGTGAGAATTTGAGGAATTTAAATAAAAGATGACATGAGCACAAAAGAGATATTTTATAGAACAACACATTCAATGCATTAGTCACTCACCATAATGAGTCTGACCATAATTTTGACTGAAAAAAAAAAAATGATGATTTAATTAAGATGAAAAGTTAATTGATAATATATAGAAAGTGGATTGATTTATTAGTCTTCCATGGTAACTTTGCATCCAAGTTCTTACATTTCACCTTAACAAATCTTCTGTTGTCACAGTTTGGGATAATTAAATAGGAGAATAAGAAAAACAAAAACATTGGAAAACTAAATGAGATCAGATCAGTTATTGCATCTAGACATGTTGGATGGCAGAAAATTTTAAAATTTAGCATCCTTACACCTTTAATGTTTCCTCTCAGTGTGTAATGATAATGAAGATTTTCATTTATATATTTTCCCTTCCCCATATATACAGATATAATTCCATCAATAAGAACATTATTTTAGTCTGATAAAATCATTTTAAAGGATGAAGTGTGTCAAAGAATTTTTCCATTTTGTTATTCAATTACCTGACGAGGTTCTGATATATTGAAATATATGTATGATATTCATGCACACACACGTGTGTGTGTGTGGTTGGTAACTGAAAGACAAAATGGAAAAATTCTATGTCAAATATTCCATTTTGTCATTCAGTTACTCACCATTACTCTGATATATAGAGTTTATACATCATATTCTTTTATATATATATATATATATATATATATATATATATAGAAAGAGAGAGAGATTTTTTCTTCTGAATGTCAATCTTCCACAAATAACAGATTTATTTACATTATTAAATTGATCGAATCTTCATATTGTAGATAAATATATTGAAAAAAATGTTTGAACAAAGTAACTATAAAGAATTTTTTTTTTTTTTGCTAGGTAATAAGTTTGAAGACTTAAAAATTATAATAGATGCTATTTTTATTTTACAATAGTAATTATTAAAGATTTTTTACAAATACAGAAAGATTCTTGACCATTTTGACCTGCATAGGACCATTTTTTTGGCATAGATACTTTTAAATATATGGTAGCTGTTGTTGGCCTAATGATTAATATCATGAAAAATAGAATTGTTCAGTTGAGTTCAAATTTAGAGTGTATTCACTTTGCACTACTGGCCTTGAGAAAGACAAGAATCCACTTCTCAACAAATATAGGTAAATAGTAGGACAGTTGGAAGTTTTTTAGTTTTGAAAGGCAGTATAACTTGGATCTAGCCCTTGAAAATTGACTTGCTACTGAGTCTGCGGCAATATGACAATGAAGAATCTGCAGAAATAAATGAAACAAGCATTTCAAATGTACACTGGTCCTAAAATGATTAGCAGATATTAAATGAAACATATGGTAATCTATTGATTTTTTTTAAGAAACAATTTTGTGCATGTATATATTTTCATTCACTAAATTAATTTGTCAAACATTTGGTCCCAATGAGCGTTTCAATGCAAAACTCTTGACTTGGCTTAACCAGATTTCACTTGAACTTTTCTTAATTTATTGAATAATCTCGACAGATTTAAAAGAAACATACATGTATTGTTTATTTATATATATGACATAAATAAAAGACAAAAGGAAAACTTCTTTACCAATGCAATTCATCCCATGTGTAAGTAATTTTATCAAGGTAAATGTGAAGATTTTATTTTGTAACTTTTATTTATACACAAAAGAGAGAGGAAAAATATTAAGTTTTCAAATTTTGAACTTGGGAATGCTCTAAAATGTCCTTAAATCTTGTTGTGTAAGGAAAGGTAAGCTATGGATGACACTAATTAATTACATCATTTAGCGCCTTCCATAGTTTACCTTTTACATGCACCATTCATTCATAATTCAAGCCTAAATGAGTGAAATTGGCAACTCATGAAAATATCTACTGGGATTCATAAAGTTACATCATTTCCTGGAGTATTTGCCTGCAAATAAAGCTGGAAGAACAAACCAAAAACAATGCTATATTTGCATGCATACTTCTCAAAAAGAAATGAAAAATGGTGACAACTTGGTGCAAAATTCATTGTATATAGAATGCTTTAAGGAGTATCATACTGTTAGAAAAAATATTAAATTTAAGAACCTAACATTTCTTTTATTTCACTTGTTTATTTTTATAATCCAAAAAAGTTAAAAAAAAATTAATTTTTATAGTTTTTGTATATAATTAAAGTGAAAATTATATTACTTTAAAACCTACCCATTCTTGTAACCTTAATTTTTAAGCACAATTTTCTTTCTAAGAGAGGAATTGTATCAGCCTGTTATTTGAATTCTATCACCCCTTTATTATTAAAATCTGACATTGGGAATAGAAAAATTACTCTATATTAGTAACAATATCTGTATTTGCTTTAAAGTATTTATTTGAAGACATGAGTGATAAAAAAAACATAAATCTATATCTTCACAATAAACTGGAAAATGTTGATAAAATTTTCAGCTTATATGAGCAATATATCATGTGACTTTCAGTTTCTAATATCTATCCTTATTAAAAAGATTGATTATGGCCAGGAAAATATAGTATAGACTTAGGAAATTAACAAATTTGAGTCTGTAGTTGGGTATTGATAACATGGATTATAAAGAAACAAAATATTTAATGTCTGTTAGAATGGTAAACTAGATAATGACATCTTCAACTAATTTGAATCTCACAAGAAGATATTTCCTTGCTTTATTTTTAAATTATTAAATTTGACAATGTTTCTTTTGAAGTAGCATTCACACTTAGAGGATCACAATTGATTTATAGTATAAAAAATAATACATATTAAGTGCCAGGATGTAGATGATTATGATTCTTCACAGACTGCTTTGTTTTAAAAAACAAAAAAAAC